TCAGGTACCCTGGTATCAGGGAAACCACCAGTTGGGTCTAGTCGGTCCTCTAACGAGTTTAAGCCCGACGGTTCTGGTTTGACTAGTGTTGCCACTCTCGATAGGGATCCAGGCACTTTATCCAATGGAAAGCTTGGATCCACTTGTGGATCAGCGAGATCCGGCTGTTCGGCTTTAGCCCTCTGCAATCCTTCATCCACCGACCCTGCGTTATCTAAGGGCCGACTCTGGGGATCGTCCCCCGTCGTGGATCCACCCTCCATTGCTTGGATCTCAACCCGTCGATTCCTCTGCAGGATCTTTCGCGGAGTTGGATATGAAGGCCGATCCACCAAGGGGCCAGTTGGCTCCGCCGAGGGCTCCACTTCTCCGAGCGATTCGATCTCGGTAGTCGCCTCGTACACCAGATTCTGCCATTCTTTGTAGCGGCGGGATCCCACTGACACATATCCAGGTCGCCTAGGGATACCGTCCTTCGCCAACCATCGTCCGATCTCCTCATAATGGTCCAGTAGTAGTCTCTTGTCGCTGACGTTCGTGACCTGGAGGTATCGTGATCGACCTGGTCCCTGGATTACGGTCGGCACCCATTTCTCGCCCCGAGTGACCCACCGTTTCTCATGTTCCACCCACCTTAACCGATCTGGCAGTTCCCAGGTTTCCCCGGGCTCGATCCAGGTTGTCTTATCCGCCCTTATGATCCTCATCTTCGCCCCATACAACGGTCGTCGTCACGCTGAGCTGGATCCGCATCTCGTCAGGGAAACAAAGTGTCCCATCCGCCAGATCCAACCTCACTCCGGCTGGTACCATGAAATCCATCCCGAGGATGGCGTCTTGACCAGCGAGATCTCCAACCCAAATGTCAAACCAATATACCAAACAACCTGCCAGCGTGATCTTATTCCGCGTTCTCCCATTCGTACGGTACACGCCTTCACCAATCCCAACACAATCTTGGATCCGACTCCCATCCACTTGGCACCCAACCTTACGAGCAAGGGCGGTATCTAATATAGACACCTCGGCACCACTATCTAGGAGTAGGATTGCTTTTTCATTGTTGATCTTGCCCCCCACCCTGGCTTGTCTGAACCACTTTCCCGGAGCATGGTACTTCCAGTACCCACGGGACTCTCCTGTTAGCAGATCCATGGATCCAACATCCTCAGATCCATAGGATCCAGTGACCTGACAGACCTTAGGTGGATCTGCAGTGACCTCACCCTTGGTAGGCTCAAACCATCGGCCATGTTGGCGCTTCTCCCAATAACCACGTGCCTCTCCTCTGTGTAGATCCAGGGTTGAAGAGACTTCGGATCTGGCAAACTCATCCACTTGGCGCAAACTAGAGACCTTGGCAACTGACACTTCATGTAGATCACGTGTATTATCGACTGGATCTAGGGTCCTGCTACCTGGATCTAGCGATGTCTTGTTCACAAATGCATAAATGCAATACCTAGAACGCTCGGCTCGTACCGGATTCAAACCCGGCGAGCGTCCTAGTTTAACATCTTCTCGGCCACTTATGGCAACATCCCTCTGTGCTTGGCTGATTCAAACCATTGGCGGATCTGGTTGTAGAATTCTTCCATCGGACACTTGCCGACGTCGTGAATCTCGCCACACCCGCGACACACGTAGAAGCAATGATCTCCGGGATGACCTTTCTTGCCACACTTCTCACAGACCAGATGTTTCCAGTATCCAGATTCAGTGTGCTTCCGGGATCCGCACTGCGAACACCTGACTTGTGCTGTCCCGTCCATGAGATCTCGGGATCTGTACATCCCACGGTCCCCGGGTACGGTATCCTTCGGTCGAGAGTTGTCTCCCTGTCTTCGCCGTTCGATCGTTGGACGCAGTGAGACAGACTCGACGGTAATCTTCAGGGTCCGAGTCCGAACCGTCGGATCCTGATTCAGTTCCTGAGTCGGGCGCCGTGACTTGGTGGACACGTCGAGCTGGGGCAGTTGTTGTACAGACCTGCCATCGTCCCCTGAACAGTCGTATCCCATCCACTTCAAGCAACTTTTTGAGAAAACAACAACTCCGGGCAAATATCCCTGTTCGTCAAAGACGCTATTTCTATTCAATTAGGGAAGATCACTGAAACGCCAAAACGCAACGATAATGCAAACAACTTCGAAGC